CCCCCCCCCCCCCCCCCATACCCCCCCCACCGTGCCCTCCACACCCCCCTCACCCACTACACACGCCCACCACGCACTCCGCACCGCTCACCGCGCACTCTGTACCTGTTACTGCGCACTCCACACCCCCACCGCACACTCCACACCCCCACCGCACACTCCATAACTCCACACTCCACACCCCACCCCACACTCCACACCCCCACCGCACACTCCATAACTCCACACTCCACACCCCCACCGCACACTCCACACCCCCACTCCACACCACGATACCATCCATCCCACACACCACACACATTACACATGCCACGTACTTTCACCACACACTACACACATGACACCACTGCACACCCTACACCCCTGTGCTGTCTCCACACCACGCACATAGGACACACCACGCCGCACTCGCCACCGCTCCTCCACACTCCTCACAGTGCACTGCACCCCCCACAGACACCACGCCGCACGTACAGCACGCAGTGCACTCACACACACTCGGGGGGTGAATTCCTGTCTGTCGTCTAGACTTCCCTCATCTATGCCATCCCGTCCTCCAGGAAGCCCCCCAGCTCCGTTCCACAGGGGCAGGTCTGGGGACTGGAGGGTCTGTGTTCTCACCGGCCCCTCTCCAGGGCTCCTCCCTGGAATCCCATCCCCTGCCACCGACACCCCTGAGAGCTCCTGAGGTTTCCTGGGGCAGCCTGGTGGTCTCCGGCCCTTGAACTTTGGCAGAGCCAGGAGGGCAGGGAGTTGAGGGGCCCTCTTCAGGCCCAAGGGGTCCCTCAGCTCCTCCAGACCTAATTCAGACCCGGAGGGTAGCTCTCAGTTTCTCCCTGTCCCCCATCTCTGTCCCTGTCCTTGTCCTGTCCCAGTCTGTCCGGGGCCCAGCCAGTCAGCCTCCAGCAGCCTGGGGGCCTGACTGTGCTTCTCAGGGAGCCCCACCCGCAGTCAGCAGGCCAGGCAGCTGTGCACTGCCGGGGTGCTGCTGGGAGGGGCAGTGAGGGGAGGTGGCCAGCGGGAGGACACTGGCCAGGACGGTCCTGGGTGGGGTCCCCCCTGGAGTGCAGTGGAGAACCTGTGGGGAGGGTGGAGTGCTGGCCCCATGGCAGTCCTCACTCTCATGGAAGGTACCCCAGGGGAGGGTACCCTCCGGGCGAGGCACCACTGCTCGTTGGGAAGGAGGTGCCTCAGCGCACACAGTCGGCACCTGGCACGAGGCCGGGCACATAGGTGGTGCTGGAGGGTGTTCCCGGAACAGCCCTGACTGGACCCTGACCCTGTCAACCTATGGGCGAGCCTTAGCCCCAGTCATGGGGACAAGGGCCTGGGGGCCTGCAGAAGACCATGCAGTGGGCCTCAGGCTGCCGTGCCCCCATGCTGACCATCTGCCCTCAGGATGGACAGTGAGGCCCCTGCCCTCCTCCAGCTGGTCTGCGCAAGTGCAGTGCCAGGTGCTGGGGACAGGGGGACAACACAGACCCAGCTGTGGGCAAGGGGAGAGGGACCCAGGAGCCTGGGCCAGGACAGCTGTGCTGGGCTGACCGGGGCTGTGGAGGCTCGAGGATACGTTTGAGCTGGACCTGTCGCCTAGGGCCTGAGCTAGAAGGCCTCACCTTATAGGGCTGAATGGGGGCAGGGGGTCAGCTCTGGGTCAGTCGGGGGGCTGGGAAGGCTGCCTGGAGGAGGAGGCCTGGGCCCAGGCCTCAGCAGGTCCTGAGGATTTGGGCATAGAGGGGAAGGGAATTCCACTACCAGACCACACCACCCTGGGGATTGTAGCACTTTCCCGGGCAGAGGGCAGGCAAGCCAGCCAGACACTGGGGCCTTCCCTGCTCAGAGCACCACACCACCCTCACCTCCGCCCATGCACTGCCCCGCCCTCACCTCTGCCCGTGCACCACACTGCCTGTGCACTGCCCCGCCCTCACCTCCGCCCGTGCACCACACTGCCTGTGCACTGCCCCGCCCTCACCTCCGCCCGTGCACCACACCACCCTCACCTCGGCCCATGCACTGCCCCACCCTCACTTCCGCCCGTGCACCACGCCGCCCTCACCACTGCTCGTGCACCGCGCTGCCCTCACTTCCGCCCGTGCACCACGCCGCCCTCACCTCTGCCCGTGCACCGCCCCGCCCTCACCTCCGCCCTGCAGGTGGGTTCCATCAGGCCCACGTGGGTGAATCGGAGGCTCGGAGAGGGCACATGCCCAGCCCAGGCTCACCAGCCACAGGTAGCAGGTGGCCTGGCGGTGCTGTGTCTGGCCCACCACGTGGCTGGGACCCCCCGGCCTCAAGTCAGTCTCTGCCTACAGGGAGCCGGGAGGCCGCCTTCACTTACGCCATCACCGCGGCCGGTGTGGCCCACGCGGCCACGGCCGCCTGCAGCCAGGGCAAACTGAGCAACTGTGGCTGCGACCGCGAGAAGCAGGGCTACTACAACCAGGCCGAGGGCTGGAAGTGGGGCGGCTGCTCTGCTGACGTGCGCTATGGCATCGACTTCTCTCGGCGCTTCGTGGATGCCCGCGAGATCAAGAAGAACGCGCGGCGCCTCATGAACCTGCACAACAATGAGGCCGGCAGGAAGGTAGGCACTCGGGCTGCCTCCCAGCCCCGGCGCTGCCCCCAGCCTGGGGGCGCCCCGCATCACCCCTGTGAAAACTGAGGCCCACAGCAGGCGGGGAAGGGAGTCCCTGGGCCAAAGCCAGCGGTGGCGGGGCTGAGCCAAGGCTGTTTTTACTAGCATGGGAGGCCCAGACTGCCCATGTCCCTGCCCTGGTGTTCTTGGTTCCAGAGGCAATGCCAACATGCCAGGGAAGGCTCCCTGGAGGAGGCAGCCTTTGGCTCCAACTGCCTTGAGAGAGGTACGGAAGGGCTGTTCCCAGGAGGCAGGAGTGGCCTGGCAAAGGCAGGAGTTTGAGCTGGGGGCCCTGGAGCAGCAGCCGCTTCACACATGGGGTGGCGTGGG